GGCAAGGTTATGAACAGGAAAATTGTTTTAAAAAGAAAAATTTCAATGATCAATACACATATGAACAGATAAGTAAAGATTTGATTAAGTTTGATTACATCTGGTGATAGTGTAGATTTAGGACAAGAAACACTTTCCTGCCTTGCTAGAAGGCAAAAGCCTTACTATAACATTTTGAAAATAATCCCTTAATATTTTCTAAAATTTTAAACATGCAAACCTGTCCTTTGCCCCAGCAATGCCAGCCTTGAGAATGTATGTGTAGATATAAAAGCCCAATAAAATACTGATACTGCATAAGGACAGATAGTGCAGTCTTGTTTTAGAAGTAGCAAAATGCTTAACCATTTTTCCTGATGATTCCTAATCAAGGAAGTACTACCCTTCAATAAATCAGTAAGGAAAGTGTTGAATTAAATAAACATTGAAGACTTCTGGGTAAGATGGTAGAGTAAGAGGACCCTAAATTCACCTCGTCCCACAGATACAACTAGGTAACACCCACATTAGTGTAAATAATCCAGAAAATAACCCAAGGACTGGCAGAACAGACTCTCCACAACTAAATGAAGAGAAGAGACCACACTGAAGAGGGTAGGAAGGGCGGAGACATGGTCAAGAGCTAAATTAACCTGAGGGACTATCCATGGGAGGGAGGGAGCTACAGCAGTTTGACAAGCACCTGAGTTTATGGGAGGAAGATTTGTTTATTAATCTTAGAGCATGTGCTAGGGGGGAGGGGTCCTTGGGAGACTTCAAGAACAAAAGGGATGGCAAATTGCCCTTCCCGCCCCCAGCCTAGACATTTGTATACCTGTGAGAACCAGCGTGGGGACAACACTCACCACATAATTTGCTAACAGCATGTCCCACCCATGTGTTCTCCTGAAGACCTGCCCTTTGATTACTCCCTTGGCCAGAGCCCATCCAAAGTAGTGCCACAAGCCTGGCAGTATGTAAGCAGCCCCAACAGGAGCCAGCACCACCCCAAAGTGACTCCTACCATGGGGAAAGGGGAGGATCACACACACCAGTCCAACTGTGGCACCAGCAGTGGGTTGGGGACAGACATCTTGTCTGACTGCTGGCCCCAACCACAAATGAAAGCTTCTCAGAGGACAACACAGGGGAACTACCCTAAGTTTGGTGCTACTGCATCTCTGGAAAATACCTGGTCTGACTCAACTCAAGCTCTAGGCAGCCCCAGACTAGCCCACTAACAAAAGAGGGACCAAACCCTGCCCAAAACAGGCAAAGAGATTGCAGACAACTTGACTGAAAGCAAAAGAAGCTCAGCCGTAACACTAGGGCACACACAACATAAATAGGAGACACTCTTGAAGCACCAAGTTCTGGTGAGCAGGGAACATTGCACTGAAGGTCACTACAGAAACTCTTGTTCATAAGGCCACTACTTTCAAGAGCAGGAGATATAGCTGACTTTCCTAAAACAGAAGCAGATACAGAGAGTTAGACAAAATGAGAATACAGAGGAATATGTCCCAAATGAAAGAACAGGACAAAAGAGTTTAATGGAGATAAGTAATATCCCTAATAGAGAATGTAAAGTAATGACCGTAAAGATACTTACTGGACTTGAGAAAAGAATGGAGAACCTCAGTAAGGCCGTTAACAAAGAGAAAGAAAACGTAAAAAAGAACCAATCAGAGATGAAGAACTCAATAACTAAAATTTTAAAATAAACTAAATAGAATAAATAGACTGGAAGAAACAGAAGAATGAATCAGTGACTTGAAGGAGAGAGTAATGTAAAGCAAGCTGAACAGGAGAGAGAAAAAATAATAATAAAAAATGAAAATAGACTTAGGGAATTCAGTGACTCCATTAAGTGTAATAATATTTGCATTAGAGGGATCCCAGTAGAAGAAAGAGAAAGGGATGCAGAAAATTTATTTGAAGAAAAAAATAGCTGAAAACTTCTCAAATTTTGGAGAAGGAAACAGAAATCCAGATTTAGGAGGCACAGAGAGCCCTCAACAAAATCAACCAAGGAGGTCTATGGCAAGATATATAGTAATTAAAATGGCAAATAATAGTGACAGAATTTTAAAATCAGCAAGAGAAAAGAAAATTGTTACATAAAGGGTAAACCCCATAAGGCTATCAGATGATTTTTCAGCAGAAACTTTTCAAGCCTGAGGGGAGCATCATAATATATTTAAAGTGCCGAAAGAAAAAACCTTCAGCCAAGAATACTCTATCCAGTAAGGCTATCATTCAGAATAGAAGGAGAGATAAAGAGTTTCCTAGACAAACAAAAGCTAAAAGAATTCACGACCACTAAACCAGCTCTACCAGAACTGTTGAAAAGGACACTCTGAATGGGAAATAGACCATAAGTAGGAGCAAGAGGAGCAGGAAACACAAAAGCAGTAAATTTAAGAATATCTATAAAAATTGGTCAAGGGATTCATAAAGTAAAAGGATGTAAAATATGACACCGTATACCTAAAAATAGAGGGGAGAGGAGTAAAGAATGAGTCAAGGGGAAGGGAGGGAAAACTGAATGGGAAGAAATCAGAGAGGGAGATAAACCATGAGAGATTCTTGACTCCAGGAAACAAACTGAGGGTTGCCAGAGGGAGGGGGAAGGGGGTTGGGGTAACTGGGTGATGGGCATTAGGAGAGCATGTGATCTGATGTGCACTGGGTGTTATATACAACTAAGGAATCATTAAACGCTACATCAAAAACTAATGATGTACTATATGTTGGCTAATTGAGTTTAAATTTAAAAAAAAAAAGAATGGGTTCAACCTTAAGCAACTGTCAACTTAATATATTCCTAAGATGTTAGATACAAACCTCAGGATAACCAAAAATTAAAAACCAGTAATAGATAAGCAAAAAATAAAAGAGAAAGGACTCCAAACATGTCATTAAAGAAAGCCAGCCAACTGTGAGAGAAGAGAGCAAGAAAAGAAAGGAACAGAGAAGAACTACAAAAACAACCATAAAACAAGTAACAAAATGGTAATAACTACATTCCTATCAGTAATTACTTTGAATGTAAATGGACTAAATGCTCCAATCAAAAGACGTAGCATGACAGAATGGTTAAAAAAGCAAGACCCAGGGGCATCTGGGTGGCTCAGTCAGTTAAGCATCTGCCTTCGGTCCAGGTCATGATCCCAGGGTCCTGGGTTCAAGCCTCACATCAGGCTCCCTGCTCAGTGGGAGCCTGCTTCTCCCTCTCCTCCCCACTTGTGCTCTCTCTCACTATCTCTGTCACTATCTGTTTCTCTCTCTCAAATAAATAAAAATAAAATCTTTAAAAAAAAAAAGCAAGACCCATCTATATGCTGCCTATAAAAGACTCATTTCAGACTTAAAGACACATGTACATTGAAAGTAAAGGGATGGAAAAGCATTTATCATGCAAATGGAGCTGAAAAGAAAGCTGGGATAGCAATACCTACATCGGACAAAATAGACTTTAAAGCAAAGACTGTAACGAGACAAAGAAGGACACAATATAATCCTAAAGGGAACAATTGAAAGAACAAGAAGATATAAAAATTGTAAATATTGCGCCCAACTTGGGAACTGTCCAGTTTTCCCAACACCAGTGGGGTTGTTGAAAAGAGACTATCTTTTTACATTGCATATTCTTGCCTCTTTTGTCATAGGTTAATTGACCATATAATCGTGGGTTTATTTCTGAGCCCTCTATTCTGTTCCATTGATCTATGTGTTTATTATTGTGCCAGTATCATACTGTTTTGATTACTACAGCTTTGTAGAATATCTTGAAATCTGGGATTGTGATACCTCCCATTTTCTTCCTCTTTTCCAAGATTGCTTTGACTATTCAGAGTCTTTTGTGGTTCCATACAAATTTTAAGATTGTTCTAGTTCTCATTACTTAGTCCTTACCAGTTTGGATGCCTTTGATTTCTTTTGCTTGTCTGATTGCTGTGGCTCAGACTTCCAGTACTATGTTGAGTGAAAGTGGTGAGAATGAACATCATTGTCTTGTTACTGATCTTAGGAGAAAAGTTCTCAGTTTTCCACCATTGAGTATGATGTTACCTGTAGGTTTTTCAAATACGGCCTTTATTATGTAATATGAGTGGGAAAAAATCCCTTCTGATACTCTATGTTGGCCTAGAAAAAGAGGGAAGCTCTTCTCTGTTCCTATTTTCCATTAAATCATCTGGTATCTTCTCAGAGGGATATGTTTTACTAATTCCAACATTCATTCTTGTGCTCTTTAATTAGAAGTTAATTTTATATTACACAGTTTAATTCCAGTTGCAAACTTCTTTATAAAATGAGTATTCTTACCCATAGGACAAGTAAAGGAAAAATAACATGCTGTTTTTATAAGTGTATTTTATAACATTGGTGTTTGTTATAGCAAATTCATAGAATTAATGCAATAGATTAAAAGGTTGTATCACTTATTAATATAGTAATATTCATTGTTAATTTTCTTAATGTAGACATAAATCATATTAATATATTAATTTATGTGTGTATATACACACACATAAATTGCTTGATATAGAATCCGTATTTCTTTGTTTATGTGGCCCAAAGCATAAATGAGATCTACACTTTTTTATTTTAATTTAATGGTGCTTAGTAATATGTAAGTCATTTTACAATATACCATGTACATTATAGAAACTGTCTCTAGAAAATACAAATTATGGAAAAATGCAGCCTTTCCGTGTATACAATATTCAATAAATGGCAGTGACTTTTAATATCAAATAGTGGGTAAGAAAGAAATAATACCACTTACAAACATTTAACATTTTAACACGTTTTGCTGATTGCTCAAGGTGTATTTGGTCTGGTATGTTCTAGTTGGTGTTTTTCAAAACCATTTTTTATAACATGTCATTCTAGATCCTTGTGGGCTTTTCATTTTATATAGTAGCAGCTTAAATTCACGCACTAACACTGTATGAAATATTTTGAAATAAATTATAATTTTAGGTTCCAATTTCACTGTCTCTTTGTTCCTCCAGGTGGCCTTTACAGTACTTTTTGATTTGGAAGCACTTCTGAAGATATGGTGTTTGGGATTTACTGGATATATTAGCTCATCTCTCCACAAATTTGAACTACTACTCGTAATTGGAACTACTCTTCATGTATATCCAGATCTTTATCATTCTCAGTTCACATACTTTCAGGTAATATGGAGAATGTCTATTTGTCTGTAGAATTTTTTTCTAAAAATTCTCAGAGAAAATACCAGTCACATTATAACAACTATACAGAATTATATTAAATAGTAATATATAATTATTATATAATAAACACAACCTTGAGGTAAGCCCAATGACATCTTCAATACCAAAAACAGTGCACTTATAAATTATAACACTGTTTTTCAAACTTCTGAAAATTCACAGTAATAAATGGAGATGTTTTCGATGAAATTTTCTCCTTAGATGAAAAGAAGTGCATTCCAACTTCACTAATTTTATTTATTGGCGATTCCAAAGCTGTTATTTTCAGAGCAATTTTAACTTCAGGTGCCAAATTACAACTTGAAACTCTATACTCTGATATATAGTTTCATGTCCTCGGGAAAGGAAATGAAAACATGATTCACAAAAATGATAACAAATATCCTGCAACCATGGGTGAAAAGCTGAGCCTCTAGTAATCACTGCCAAAAGTACTGAAATCACAGAGGATATCATGGTTCAAGCTTTCAGTATATCAACATCTTTGGACATAAATCCCTTGTCATTAGTTGGGTTATATCCTTAGGCTTGGTTATCATAAGTGAGGTGACCAGAGCAAGAGATATACATATGTTTAAAACTCTTGGTATGAAATGTACTTCCCAATCATGCCATTATATGCCCTTGGGTGCTGCGGTCTAGATTTACAAAATCAACATGAGCATTTAGTACCTACGTTTGAGAATCATTGTACATAATTATAAAAAATATGCCTGATAATCAAAACAACAAGATATCTTTAACAAACCTTTTAAGTCAACCAAACTAAGAAAAATACTGATACCTATTTCAGCAAGGATACATATACAAAATATATTCAGGGCTTTAAAATTCCTCTAGTTTCTCACAGATAATTTTTTAGTGAAAAGTTAGAAATACATTAAAATTTTGAATGCAAATATATTTATTTGGGGATTGTTTATGAGAAAAAAATGGGACTTTTAAAATGGTAAACATTTGAGGAATAGCTTAGGAAGTCATATGCAAATTTGACCATAAAATAATGACTGTCATGATTTGTGATTACTTAGAGATATGATTCATTATCTCTAGTTTTTTTCTACTTAGAGATATGATTCATTATCTCTAGTTTTTTTCTACTTAGAGATATGATTCATTATCTCTAGTTTTTTTCTACTTATCTATTTTTCACAAAGTATCTAAAATCAGTATGCATGGTTCTAATCATTTTTTATAGATAGAGACATAGTTGAATAATATGCTGTCAATGAAGTTTGCAACTTCAGTGTTGTCTTTGATCCTGGATTATAACCTAAAATAATTTTATTTATGTTAATGGTTAAGTGATTTTCATTTGTATCTCTCTATACATGACCATGTTTATATTTTTCTAATGAAATAATTAAACACTACCTCAGTTATTATTTGGCTAAAATATAGATCTCTGCAGAAGTTCAAGTGTCACAAGGATTTTTGCAAATTCACCTATAAGAGCCCACTGTCCTGAGCAGATTAGCTCTTCATGGGCCCACTCTGGTCTCCCTTGTGGGTCCTTGCACTTCTCATCTGACTTGGCCTTACCTCATTATGTTGGCAGCATGGCTTCCTTTAGTGAATTTCACATTTTCATATTGAAGTGAAGTCAACAGTTTAGTACAAAATGACTCCCTTTATAGCATCAGTTATCTCTGAGAGCAGTTATTGGTGTTATTCGTCTATTTGTTCAAGTTGGTATTTACTGAGCACCTACTACGTGCCAGGCACAGTTCCAGATACGAAGGACAGAGTTGAACAAGCAGGGAGAAGTCCCACCTCAGTAAGCTTACATTCCAGATGGCAGACAGTTCACAAACAAGTACACATAAGAATGTGGAATAAAGTGCTGGAAATATTATAAAGGAGAAACAAGGGTAAAAAAGATAGAGGTTGGGGTGAGGGATGGGGGGGTGTCTATTTTAGAGAAGTTGCTCATGGCAGCCCTCTCTGGAGAAGTCGCTAACGAGCAGAGACTAAGTGAAGTGGAGGGGCAAGCCAAGAGAACCTCATGGCACCTTTCTGAGGTGAAAACATGGTTGATGTGTTCAGAGAATAGCCTAAAGGCCAGCATGGCTGCACTGGAATGAGCATAGGGCACCACTGTGCTGTAGGAAGAAATAAAGCTTCACAAAATGCTCTGGCTCTGACATACCCGGGTAATAATGATGATGTTGGTGGGTATTTATTGTGCATTTGCCATGTGCCAGGCACTGTGCCAAGTGCCTTGTGTTGTTTAGTACTCACCACAGTCCTGTGAGACAGAGTATACAATGCAAACTGAGCTCCCAAGACATTTGGTAACTTGCCCAAGACCACCTAACTAGCAAGTGGTGGAAACTCATGACTAAGAAGTTTAATTTCGTAGTCTATATTCTTAGCCATGCAATTTCTAAAGTATCTCACTTGTAATGAACAGAGTGATCTTGAAGACACAGACTTAGAAATATGACCAGGAAAATGAGCTTTGGAAGTAGCCATGAAATGTTCTACAGTGCTTATCTTTAGAGTATGGCTTACTTTATTCCCTATCTGTAGGGATGCAAAATCAAAAGGCTTTATTGCACAGAGTGAAAAGGATATTTATCCCCAAATAAATGAAAAAGCCTAACTAGAATCATTGATAAGGATTTTGCCTTTCCAGGGATACAGCCTTACCCCTTGGAAAATGCTGATCAAATCGGCCATGTAGGAGTCGTGTTGTGTTCTGCTTCTTCCAGCTAATGAAATATTAATTATCAAATTTGCACAGATGTGCAGAGGCTGTTTTAATAGAATTTGGGATAGGACTCAAAATTACTTAGACTATCTTTTAAGCATGATTTTAATACAAGTGGAGAAAACCCACTGTTTTGAAAGCTGAGCTATAAAGCCAGTTAAATTGTTCCTGTAAACTTGCCTGGACTCAGCTGTTAACAATTAGATACTGAATCATTTATGTCTTGGAATAACAAATCTGATAAGAATGTGAACACTTTCCATATTATTATTCTGGATATTAATATGAATATTTTAATAGCTCTTATGATAAAGCTATTCACTTGTTATTTGGAAAGATGGCCTGAGTGCAATATGTTCTGATCTGGAAACATACGTAAATTCTAACAGGAAGACTGGTAGCTTAACCATGTATGTAGCACAATGTTTACTTGGAACAACATGATTTTTCACATAAATTTTCGTTTTTCAGTATTGTGTGAAGGAATTAAAATTAACAACAAGGAAATATACATTTTCTCAGCTTCTTTAAACGTTTGTCCTTTAGTTTCCTATTCACGTGGCTACATTTGTATTCTGTAGACAATAGGAATGATAAGTTTCACCATCAACATTTCCTGTTAATTCAGGTTCTAGGGGAGTAAATGTGGCTTCAAGTATGGCATGATGCAGAGGCTAAGATGGTATCATAAGGACTCAGTCTATATGTTCACTCACCTTTCTTCTCTGTCAGTATTATTAAGCTGGCTTTCTCCATCTAGTGGCAAATCTGGCTCCCAGGAGCTCAGGGCTTCAGTGGTGCTTACAGTAATGCCAACTGGAGATAAAAAATGCCTCATCTTATAGGTCCAACAAAAGTTCCGAGAATGACTCAGGTCATTGTGAATATTCCCTCCAGGCCCGGATTGTGGACATCATGGAGTCCCTTTTGGACCTGGTGGACCAAGAGTGGAGCAGGAATAATTTGCTAAAGGAACATCAGGAACAATAGGAAGCTAGGGATGCTGGAAAAATCGAAACATATATATGTGTAAAAATTAAAATCTAGTTTTTAAAGCACTTCCTGTTCTTTACTATACTGAAAATAGACTATTCATTTTTCTTCTCCTAAGAAGACTTCACAGACACCTAAAGCTCTTACCAAACTGGCTTAGACACCATATATTATTATATTTATACTCACCATATTTTATTTATGCCCAGACCACCGTTTTCCTGTTTCCTATTTCCTATCTCTAAGTCTGCGATCTGCCTTACAATCAGTGGTATGCCTTACTTTAATTGGAAGCACTTTTTCTTCTCAGAGGCACATAAAAAAAAATGTTAACATCTTAGACTTAATTAAAAAATTCTATTTTTCAGGGCGCCTGGGTGCCTCAGTTGTTAAGCATCTGCCTTCAGCTCAGGTCATGATCCCAGGGTCCTGGGATCAAGCCCCTCCTTGAGCCCCACATCGGGCTCCCTGCTCCACAGGAAGCCTGCTTCTCCCTCTCTCACTCCCCCTGCTTGTGTTCCCTCTCTCGTTGTGTCTCTGTCAAATAAGTAAATAAAATCTTAAAAAAAAATTTTTTTAATTCTATTTTTCCATGCTTTATGCTTCAACTTTGGATTATATACTAATTTATACTTTTAATCATATAAATATGCCTTTAAGAGCTATGCTCTATAAAAAAAAATTTAAGCTATGCCTTTGTATGATACTGCCTTTGCAATTACAAACATTGAACCTTATTTGTCCAACACAATGTTTGACACATAATAATCAGTATTTGTTAAAGTGAATGAGCAAATGAACTTATTAATTGATAAGCAGCTATGGGGGGGTGCAGTTATACACTTTCAAAACATCTAAACATGTGTAGGTGTGTTTAGATGACAACCTAAGCAGATATAACAGAGATCAAAAGTACAAGTCTTACATGAGACAGAAGTGTGTTTCTCCCCAGTAGTTGGTGGGTGTCCAGGAAAAGTCAGTGGCTCTGCTCCACACGGTCATGCAGGAAGCCAACTATTGAGGTGGACTGAATCTCTCAGCCTCTATACAGGGCTTCTATTTCTGGTCCAAAGGGACAACTCCATTTGTTTCTATTTCCCTGCCAGAGGAAGGCATAAAGAGTATCCAAGGCAAGTTGATTTACTTTAATGGGCCAAAAGTTGCAAATACTACTTCCTTTCATATTCCATCAGTCTGAACCTAGTCCCCTGGCCACACCTCACTACAAGTGGGGCTGGAAAATGTGGCCTAAAGTCCTGGGTGGCCATTGCTAAGCTAAAATTCTGATTGTTCTGTTATTTAAAGGGAGGATAGAATGGATATGAGGGTATCAGTCTCAGGCATAAGTGAAGACTCCTTGTTAATAGACTTTTTTGTTTGTTTGTTTGTTTGTTTGTTTGTTAATAGACTTTTTAAAAAAATGTCTTATGTACAGTAATACATAAGAAGCTTTATTCTGTGAGACGATATAACTAATTCTGAGCTAAACATTTTCTTCTACATTTGAACATTAGAAAAAAATCACTTTAATTTCTTTTTTTTTTAAAGATTTTTATTTATTTATTTATTTGAGACAGAGAGAATGAGAGAGAGAGAGCACATGAGAGGGGAGAGGGTCAGAGGGAGAAGCAGACTCCCCGCCGAGCAGGGAGCCCGATGCGGGACTCGATCCAGGGACTCCTGGATCATGACCTGAGCCAAAGGCAGTCGCTTAACCAACTGAGCCACCCAGGCGCCCCAAAAAAATCACTTTAATTTCAACATGTATTACTTAATGGCACTTTGAATTATCACATTGCATGTCAAAAAGCTTCAGTTTTCCTACATTCATTTGGGATTTATTGAGTTCTGGCTCTAAGGCAGGCACTGAGCTAGACTGAGATCTTAGTTATGGTATTGTTACTTTTTGTGTGTAGCTGCTCAAGCGGAAAAGTCCGATTTTTATGAAGTACTGTGAAAAATGAGGTTTTAGTGTGAACTTATTTAAGATTCAGTGTAAAAAAGTGATCAAGTACGTATGTTTTTCTCTCTCACAACAGGTTCTTCGGGTAGTTCGACTTATTAAGATTTCACCAGCGTTAGAAGACTTTGTGTACAAGATATTTGGTCCTGGAAAAAAGCTTGGGAGTTTGGTTGTATTTACTGCCAGCCTCTTGATTGTTATGTCAGCAATTAGTCTGCAGATGTTCTGCTTTGTCGAAGAACTGGACAGGTTTACAACGTTTCCAAGGGTAAGAATAAAAAATGCAGCCAATTAATTCCTTCTTCCTATTTTAGTAATAATGGTTAACATCAAAATAGTTTCCCTTTAAGAGTGGTTCAAAAATATAGTCATATTTTCGATAACTTAGAATAATTCAGTTTTGATATTTAAAATGGTCTCTTCTGCAGGGTGCAGGCATTTGAGCACATTTTCAGCATTGTGAGATTATACATCAATTCTAAAATTCTGGAAATAGTCTGATAGAATGAGATGCTGAAACCAGTCAAGATGAAAGCTAGGGTTCTCAGCACCTATAGATGAAAATATAACAGAATTTTTAAATAAAGTTTTTGTGTCTGTGAGAGTTATTTTAAAATCTGTTTTATAATTCATATATTTTTATGACAAGCATAATCTAGAAGGGGTTTTGATTTTAAAATTCATAAACTCTTCAGATTTTAAATGTCTTTAAAAGATTATCTAGTTCATGCCTCTGCATTATCATTAGAATTCACTTAGGCTATGAACGAAGTTAAAAATCAATCAGCTCATAAACAGAACTCATGTAGAAAATATAGCTCTAATCAAGGATTCTGAAATTTAACTCCATGTGGATTTAGAAACATGAAAAAAATATAATGACCAAGTCAAAAAAATATATATTCTTTCACCATAAGCTGAAATAGCAAGGCCTATTATATGGGAAGGATAATCTTGGAGTAACAGCAGGATGTAATACATTTTTTAAAATAAGCTTTGAGGACAAAGGTGTCTGTACTCAAACTGGTAGACTAATAAAGCCTGGTTATTTATTTTTTTTTTAATCTTGTGCTAAATTTGTTACACATCACCAAGCATTTGTTGAGTGTGTATAAACAGCCAGGCAATTTTGGTGATCTTAGGACAGAAACACAACTACGTCCCTAGTTTTCAAGAAATTCTCAGTTGAAGGGGGTGCCCCATAAGTAAACATGAAGCATGATAAAGGCAAGCTCAAGGTGCTCTGGGAACCCAGAGGTAAGGTCTGTAACCAGGAATGGAAAAGTCCAAGAAGGCTTCTTGAAGGAGGCAAGTACTAAAGAACAGTTGTAGGTAGCCAAGTGTCCCAGGTTTGGGGAACAGCATATGCAAAAGGTCTGAGGTGAGCCATTCTTGTTCCAGAACTTAAAGGAGAAAGAAAGGTCAATGTGAGAGGAGGACATAAGACCAAGGAAGTTTTAAGTTGGGTGAAAGCGTGATTGTGTTTAAATGCTGTTGAGAGAGCGAGTAGAGGGCGAGATTGAAGGTGCATGAGACAGAGGACAGTAGCAAAATGTTCCCGGAGGGGGCATCCAGAGCACGGGCACAAAGACTGGTCTCAGACAGGTGTTGACTTGTCCTGTGTCCAGGTGGTGTTATAGGACAGTGAGCCAAACTGAAAGTCACAGTGAGTCTTTGTTCACTTACTGCCACAGTGCAAGCAACAGGCAGAAATAACCACTGGCTCCCAGCATTCCGTGTTCCCCACTGAACAGCATTGGGTGAGTGTCAGGTGGGAAAGCATAGATGTGGCAGGAAGAATAGAGAAAGATGCCTCAGTTGAGGACCCTGATGATGCACCCTCGGAATAGAAGCACCTGAGCTAGGAATATGGCTGTGCATAAAAGCATGGCGGCCTGGAGTGGGGGGGGTGCCGAGTTTCTACCTCCAACTCCCTCCAGAGGCCTCCCCCATGATCCTGTCAGGCAGAGCCTCCCCAGTGCCTATGGTCAGGCCACAGGGGATGAGGTTGGCCCAGAGCCAGACTCTTCAACAAGAGGCTCAGCTCTTCCTGCAGGGCTGGGGGGGCAGATGTAGGCAGAGATGACAGTGATATCATTAAGCCCACCTCCTCTTAGTCTGCCCTCTCATGGGGGAAATGAAAATTGCAGAATGCCACTTGGAGAATGACACTGAATGGAGAATGACACTGAATGTCATTATCACAGCCCATCTCTAAGGCCAGGTTAATTCAGCACATAGTATTGAAGGCCCACTATGGGTCAGCCATTGTTCTAGCAACAGGGGATCCTAAAAAGAAAACCACCCTCAGTCCCCTTCTTTATGAACACAGTCTTCTCTTAATTTCAAATCTTATCTTCATCTTTTACCATCTCCGCTAATCTCATGTCACTGATTTTATATCTCTTCCCCAAAACCTCTTTGAGCCAGACGGCTTTTGGAGTTCATAATATTCCAGATATTATAAGGGTGATATCACCCCCTTGTTGATCTGAATTGTTTGAGTCAGCACACTGTAATCAACACATTAATGCTTCTTTAGCAAAACATCAACCTTTGGACAAAGAAGGATAAATAAGGACAATAAATAAATCTTAGGTCAGACTGGATTTCTGCCACTAAATGAGCTACCAAAAAAAAAAAAAAGGAGGAAATATTTTAGGTATTTTCAAGAAGTTTGGAATAGTGAAGTTGTGAGTCAGGGCCGTGGCATGCATAGGAAGGCATCGCGGATAGTCTGCACTTCCTGTCTTAGAGATCTGATTTCTTATTACCCCTCCAGCATTTTTTTTTAAAGATTTTATTTATTTATTTGACAGAGAGAGGGAACACAAGCAGGGGGAGTGGGAGAGGGAGAAGCAGGCTTCCCATGGAGCAGGGAGCCTGATGCGGGGCTCAATCCCAGGACCCTGGGATCATGACCTGAGCCAAAGGCAGACGCTTAATGACTGAGCCACCCAGGTGCCCCGCCCCTCCAGCACTTTTTGGCTGTATGACACTGGCCAAATTATTCTCGTAGTTTTATTTTTTCACATCTAAAATCCGGGTAAAAATAGTATTTTCCTCATAGCATTGTGTGTATTGAATCATATACAAAAACAACCCCACTCTGGGCTTAGAAAGCATTTTTCAAATGTTGTATTCTATGTAATATATTTGAAGTCGGTATTTTAGATTCTGTATGAAAGACCAGGCTGCTTCAGAGCCATCTGACTTAGCCCCATGGGATTTGCTCTATTTTTCCAGCCATAATAGTAATCAAGTAGCATTACGTTTTCAGGTCTCCAATTACTCCATTGTGCCTTTTTGCCTGATTACTTTGACCATCTTAATGAAAGCAGCCCGGCGACTATGGGGCCCCCTAATCAGTGATTCTGCAGCTGACAGGGTTGACAGCCTAAATGTGTGAAATGACTAGGAGTAGATTTTTCCTTGCCCATGAACATAATTATGAGTTAAATCCCTGAAAAATAATCAAATTTTGCAAGAAATGTTAAAAAACATCACAGCTACAAAAAGCAGTCATTATCATTCCCAGTCACATAAAGCACCAACCATTGGTGCTACTTGCCTGATAGGAAATCAGAAGAGATGGTCAAAAACACATCACTGTCGATGTTAGATTTCTGTTAGGACACTCGTCTATGGGTCTTACCCCCTTACCTTCTTCTAGGACATCTCCTTCATTATACAGTGGTTGGGTATTGAGGTGGGTTGGTTAATTACGGTATTAGCCAGAGCGCACAACACACCGTTGGTGGGAGCCAGCCTCCAAGATGGCCCGGACTCAAGTAAAGATGATAGAAACAAGTGCTGATGATTCCTTTAGTTCCCGTTTTACTTTGGGATGCATCATGTGATCTTTCTTACACATACTTAGAGCTATGGGGTACAGGAGAGTCTACTGTGTACACACTTGAGAGATGCTGGGAGAAGACCCGCCATGAAGAAAGGAGTCCAGCAGAGGTGGGTCCAGCCTGACTTGGCAAAACAGCCTCAGTCTTTGTGCCCAGGGAAGAATTTTCCTGTGGCTCTTTCTTGAACCAGATCCTGAGCCAGCCATCTAGGTGGCATATTCTCCCTAGAGAAATAGGACTGGATATAAAACCACTGTTTAATTGGACTTGATTGCATCTTGGGCCCAGCTACCCCATATGAAACCCTCTAAGAGAACCTGACATGGACATGTGGAAATGATTTCCCCACCCACTTTCCAAGAAGAGAAGCTCAGCGGGGCAGAGGAAACAGCAGCGTGGGCACACTAAGTGCCTGCCCAAGTGCCTGCCCACTGCTTGACCCTCTGACGGAGCTCCAGCCACACTGAAAGTCCCCAGCTACTTCCTGGAATACTTGAAGGTGAAGAGGTCCTAAAAACTTGCATTATTCCACAAGTTCCCTAATGGGTCTCCCTGCCTCAGTCAGCTGCTCTTCAGTCATTCTCCATATGCAGCAAAAATTAAACTGTCTCATGGCACCCTCCTGTTTAAAACGTTTCAAGGTCCTCCTTTCCCTCAAGATAACAAACATTTTAATATGATTTTCTGTACCTTTTTTTTCTCCATCCCCAGTTACCTCGCTGGGCTCATATTTCAGGATTTCCCCTACCACATCTTTCAGAGGCAGAGAGGGCATCTGTCTTGCTCAGTAAATCCCCCCATGCTTAGCACAACACTTGCTAGTGAATAGGCTTTCACTGATGAATGAGTAACAATGCTAGACCAAGGCAAATTTCTCCGACCCTTCCACACTGTATCACATTCAACATCCCAGAGTCTTTCTTCCACTGCTGTCCCTTCCTCAAGGAACCACTTTACCCTCCATCACCCTAACGGTTATCCCATCTGAAATCTTTGCATAATTCTGTCAGAGTACTTTGGCAGGAAGTAGCAGAAATCTTGCCTCCAACTGACTTGAACAGTTGGGAAATTTCTCACAAAATTCGAGATTAGGTAGATTAGGCAGAAAACCAAGATTCTGAATCTTTCACTGAAATGGTCTCAGTGGTGGGTTGAATTATGTGCCCCAAAAAGATATGGTGAAGTACCCCGAAATGACCTTATTTGGAAATAGAGGTGATAAAGTTCAAATGAGGTCGTGAGGGCGGGCCCTGACCCAGCATGACTGATAGTTTCTAAAGAGAGGAGATTTGGACACAAACACAGACATACACAGAGGGGGGACGATATGAAGACACATGAGAAGGCAACCATGGGATTGGGGTTTCATCTACGCACCAAGGACGTCCCAGGTTTGCTGGCAATCATCTGA